TGACATTGTGTTTTTAAATGTTAAGTTTTAGACTGGGTTCAGTGTGGCAGCAACGTTAAGAGTATACACCTGATGATGGCCGATAGAGGCCGAAACATGTAGTGTAGAAAGAACAAGATCAAAGACATATAAATATATATTGTTTGCACTTAGGACGGAGTTTGTATCATTTATCGTGTAGAGTGCAACAGGATGCTTAAATATAATATTAAAATGGATCTTAGAGAGATAGGATGGGGTGGTACGGACTTGTCTGATCTGCCTCAGGATAGGGAGGGGGCCAGTGGAGGGCTCTTGTGAACACGGTAATGAACCCTCGGGCTCCCTAAGATGCTGGGAAATTCTTGAGTAGCTGCACAACTGGCAGCTTCTGCAGTTGGTTTTCGCGCGTGTTACGTTTACCCAGTCTGAGAGAGGAACATAACAATTCCAGCGGACACAGTTAACCTTCATTTCACGTTTAATTTTTAGTGATGAAGCGACTTTTCACTTGAGCGGCACAGTCAATCGTCACAATGTGCGTATTTGGGGAGCAGAGCACCCACATGAAACAGTTGAGCACGAAAGAGATTCCCCTAAGGTGAACGTCTTCTGTGCTGTGTCTCAGGACAAGGTTTATAGTCCCTTTTCCTTTGAAGGAAACACCGTTACAGGGCAAACCTATCTCGATATGCTCCAAAACTGGCTCTTCACTTCACTGCAAGCAGATTCGCATGACTTCATTTTTCAACAAGATGGAGCACCGCCCCATTGGAACCTGATGGTCCGAGCTTTTTTAAATGAAAAAGTGCCCCAGCGATGGATTGGTCGGAAGGGGGCCCAAGACCTTGCTCTTTGTGCTTGGCCTGCGAGATCCCCAGGTCTCACCGTGTGTGATTTCTTCTTGTGGGGATATGTAAAAGATCACGTTTATGTTCCATCGCTACCCACTAACCTCGATGACCTTAAACATCGAATAACAACAGCGATTAACTCAGTGCATCGTGATATGCTGATACGCGCCTGGGAGGAATTCTCTTATCGCATTGATGTTGCCCGTGATGCAGCTGGTGGCCACACTGAACACTTGTAAGACAGGAAATAAAAGTTGATTGTGAGTAGAATACTTGTGACTTGGCTGGAGTTTTGTATTACTTTCCTTTACTAAAATATTGCGTAATACAATCGGTTCATTCTTTTTGAATAACCCTGTTTATTCAAAATTCTGATCGTTACACCTCAGGGGAAAGGATATTTTCAAGGACCTAGGCGTAGATTGAAGAGTAGTCTATTGAGATAGATTTTAATTTATTTATTTATTTGTCTCCAGTTTACTTAAGGACGGTGTCAGCACTCCAGACTGTACAAGCATCGAGTGACTGAATGATAAACTGGGAAGTACTGTGTATGAGAGAGAGAATCGTTATGGACTAACCAGATGATATCTGAGCGTTTGCCTGACCGAACTGACTGACACCACGGAAACCCTCGGTCAGAACGGTGGGTGCCCCGGACGAGGTCCGAATGGGGCACCTCCAGAACATAAGTGAGGATATTACCAATTCGCTCCGTGAAACGATGAGAAGGGACAGACAGGATTAATCTGTCTCAGAAAAAGGACAAATGGCGGAGTCTCCTGAACACGGTAAAGAATTTTCGTTTTGTATAAAAGCCGGGAATGTTTTGACTAGCTGAGTGACTGTTAGCTTCTCAGTAAGGACTATGCTCCATGGAGTTGCTTAGCTCTAGCGTTGAAGCTTTAAATTCTTGCACGGACCCTATAAGACGGGTCACGCGACGCCATACCATTGTGTGGGTCGCCAGGTCAGTACTCATGTCTGTTCCAGAACTATACCACAGCCTTCGCCAAACCGCCGGAAGTAGAGGGGTCCGAACCGCGGACCGGGGCCACAAAGAGTGGAGATGAAGAGTCCATTCCTTTCTGTTTATCTTTCATTAAATTTTTTCGCGAGTTACACTTGAGACACACCCAGAAGCAGGGGCAGGTCTTCGTGTACTGTCCTTTATGGTTGTCCTTCGTTAACCAGAATTTGTATATTCTCACATAATTCAGCAAAATCGAAGTTCATGAACGCCAGTTTTAACTGAAGGAGTTATCGGACAATTCCGATTTTCAGGCATACAGCCCCATAATAAGTAAGGCCACAAATGGGCTCTTTCATGCACGGCATAAACGGCCAATTGCACTTTATAAACATACCGGAAGTAAATAATAATCCCTGAGGCTGAGGGCAGTTCGGGGTGTTCTTTATGAACGAATCCAGCAACGTAGAAATGCTTTATGGACGGGGAAGGGGGGGGGGGTTAATGGGGCTTCGTATAGTGATTACAAACATGTCTACATATTTTTTGTTGAAGTGTACGAACACAACAACTGTAAGTTTTATAAAAGTCGTCATTGTCGATACACTGTATGCATTAAACTGAACAAAAGAACATCGTCAAGTGTATCTAATTTTTAATTGATAAGTATGAAGCCCCTCGTGGTTCAGGTTCAAACGGCCATCTTCAGGGGCGTCCAGTGTTAAAAGTAAACTTCACTTAATTTCGTGTGAATTATTTAAACATTTGCCCATGTGAATTACTGCAGACATTAACATTTGTGACCAACATGGCGCAGAAGCCAATATATAGTTCAGCACATCACGACAAAGACACAAAACCCATTACTTCTATGCAGCATACATTTTTACACGTTAAAGATATACTTGACGATCGCATCTGTTTTAAATGACTCATGTGGAAATATTCTTTAAATAATTCACGCAAAATAATGTAGAAAGTTTTCCTTCAGCAATGGACGCCATAACGGCATTTTGAAATGCCAGAACTGGTACGATCGCTATAAGCATGGGGTGAACGACGTGCAGCCTTTCCGAATATGTGCGGAGGGACTGACGAAAACCACGGAAAGCCGGTGTCTCGGACGACATCATGACACGATGCGCAGAAGTAGATACGTTTCAGAATTTCCATTTGCTGTAGGACACCTGGGCCGGGCCGGACGGCCGCCTGGTCCTGGACTCGCAGCAGGACTGTCAGGGCTTCAGGCACGTGCAGCGTGATGACGTCATCAAGTTCACCTTCACGCGGCGTTTCGATACCTGCGACCCGCAGGATTACATCATAGAGGTAGGTTCGATAAAAGCTTTGTGTTTTGATTTGGCGCGGAGCCTGCAGCGGTACAGTCGCAACAGCAAATTGGTTCGTGTGTTCAGGAGGGCACGACACACGTGGTGTGGGCGCGGGGCAGAGGCCCCCTGTTTCGACTGGAGGGTCTCAACGTGTCTGGTGCCGCTCAGAGCGGTATGCAGCGGGCGCAACTACTGAAGAACACGAGCCCCTCCCCCTCGCACCCCAGCGACACGTGGCACCATGACATCCTGAACAGCGAGGTGAGAGTGCCTGGGGACGACACGACGTACTGGTGCCGCGTGCACAGGCTGCCGGCCGCGCTACGCACCAAGCACCACGTCCTGCAGGTAGGACGCAGCACTTTCCGGATATTTGCATTTCATTCTGTTCGTGAAGGGCCTGTGCTCATTCCAGCCATTTCCTCACAGTATGAGGCAGTGATCCAGCCTGGGAACGAGGCACTCGTGCACCACATCGAGGTGTTCCACTGCGAGGCACCAAGCACCCACACGATGCCCGAGTACCAGGGACCCTGCTTCTCGCACGAGCGTCCCGAGGTCACTAAGGTCTGCAAGAGGGTGCTGGCTGCATGGGCCATGGGGGCCTTGCCCTTCAGCTACCCTGAGGTACTCACGTCTCCGCCTCCAATGTTTTTAGTAAGAGAATGTACGAAACTTGTTATGAAGAAGCATCATACAGAGATTGCCACTGTTTCAGGAGGCTGGCCTGCCCATTGGAGGGCCAGATTTCAATCCCTACGTCATGTTAGAAGTACATTACAATAACCCAGAGAGGAGAACAGGTGGGTGGAAGGTACAGTAAATGTATTTGCAAAATTACAGTTACTTTTATCCAATGCAGAATCCTTATCATCATCAGCAAGACAAACAACTATACATGCAAGTGGAGGACATGGCACTTCTGTACCCTTACAGTGTAACATAACTAGCCTATCTAAGCGGTACAGAATCTGTCCATGTCAAAATCACTTATCAAATCAAACTTTTCTCTGTTCACATTCAAAATTAAAACAATGCACAAACCTGGTAACTGCTTACATCAGTACAGTCAAAGTATCATGTACCATAGATAGTGCCAGCCGTAATTAGGTTGGGAGGGGAACATTATTAACTTCCTGACTTACGGTGAATTTACTTATTTGTAGAGTCGTCGTTTACATTCCCTACAAACGGACAATACTTTGTAACATGAGGCACCGACTAAATAATTAACATTAATATTACTACATCCACACTATGAGCCTCCAAAACAGTTTATTATATACACACAAAATATAAAATACTCCAATTTGTCCGTGGGAACGAAACAATATCACAAAACCAACGACTGTATCGATGATGTAAAGCATCACTCAAAGAGTTTTATTCTTGTTTTATACTATAACTTTTGTTTTATATAATCTAATTTATTGTATTTTTATGCCAAGTATTTTAATATAATATTATTGTATCCAATTTTATTAGTACTGCACNGGATAAATACCGTCTTAAGTGCAACAAATTTTATTGTAGTTTTTACTTCTTTTCCTCCTCCACACTACATGTTTCGGCCCTAAATGGCCATCATCAGGTGTGTATCACTCACGTAGCTGTTACACTGCTTGTTAAAATTGTTGTACCCTGAAAAAATTTTAACTAAAAAAAAAAAATTGAAAAAGAAAGAACAGAGATCTTATAGACATTTTAACTTGAATTAAGTTTTAAAAAGTGCTAATTTAAAAATCAAATCGACACATGTAGATTAACAAAGATTTTATACAATTAGAAAGACTGGTAATTTTAAATTTTAACAAGCAGTGTAACAGCTACGTGAGTGATACACACCTGATGATGGCCATTTAGGGCCGAAACATGTAGTGTGGAGGAGGAAAAGAAGTAAAAACTACAATAAAATTTGTTGCACTTAAGACGGTATTTATCCATATATAAGGCCTTAATAAACTGGGAAGGATGTGTAAGGAAGCGGTCATGGCCCGACTTGAGACATACTGCAGCATTTGCCTGGAGACATGGAGGAAAGCCACAAAAGAAACCTCAACCAGGATAGCTGGACTTTGGGTCATGACCTGAACACAGAACCTTTCAAATACAAGGCAGGAGTGCAACCCACTCTGCTCCAACATTCAATAATACGTATTGGATTAAACTGGCTCAAGTAGTAATGATGGAAACGTCATGGCAGCCAACTTAATAAAATTACCCTTTCTTCTGCAGACTGGGTAGACAGCTCAGGGGTGCGCATGTACCTCACCCCAACACTGCGGCGCTTTGATGGTGGGGTCATAGAGCTAGGGCTCGAGTACACGGACAAGATGGCCATCCCGCCGCAGCAACCAGAGTTTGTACTCAGTGGCTACTGCATCGCAGAATGCACAGCAGTGGTACGCACCTTCTTCAACAGCCAAACATCCAATGGTGACACAGGGCAGCCAGCCACTTCACACACAGCTTTGTGATTACAGGCCGTGCCACAGGAGGGCATCATTATCTTCGGATCTCAGCTGCACACCCACCTGACAGGCATCAGGGTGTTCACACGGCATATCCGGGATGGCAGAGAGCTACCTGAGCTGAACCGCGACAACCACTATAGCACACACTTCCAGGAGATTCGTTCGCTCAAGCGGCAAGTCAGGATACTCCCGGTAAGTTTGTTTCAGCATGTAGTCTGTAATACAAGCTGAGGGCAGGCTCTGAGATTTGCATTGAAGACGTCCGAGCATAGGGTGATGAAAATACCTTGACCTAAGAGAGAGTAAATAATAGGAAGCTGGAGAAAACTGCATGATGAGCTTCACAATTTGTACTCTTTGCAAAATACCTGTTGGAATGACACGTGAGGCATATAGCATATGTGGAACACACGAAATGCATACAGATTTTCTCTTGAAATCTGAAGGGAGAAGCTCATTGGAGAGACCTAGGCACAGATGGGAGGAAAATATTAAGATGGATCTTGAAGAGACTCTTGGCAGGTTGTGGAGGGAATACATTTTGCTCAGGATAGGTGAAGTCTTTAGATTGCATGAGAGGCTGGGAATTTCAGAGTAGCTGAGCAACTGACATATTCTCATGAAGGGTTCTGCTCCGTGGGGTAAATTATGTTTTGCAGTTTTTTGGTTTCCTGCCACAGACATCCTTTCCTGCTCAACCAATAATGTAATGGGTAGCGACCTGTTCCTGGTACAATTTTCTCTTCAGTGTCACACCCTTCCTGTCCTTCACAGGGAGACGCACTCATCACAACCTGCTGGTACAAGACCACAGATCGTGACAACATCACAGTGGGAGGCTTTGCCATCAGCGATGAAATGTGTGTCAACTACGTGCACTACTACCCTAAAATTGATCTTGAGGTCTGCAAGAGTTCCATCAGCTCTGACAGTCTGAACACATACTTCAGGTTTCTCCGCGAGTAAGTAAAGAGGTTCACATTTTTTCAATATGTACTAAGGGCATTCCGTATATAATGCCTCCTATATTTTTTTAAGAAAACTACAACAGATGCAGAAATCATAATAACGCAGTTAAATAGGGCAAGTTTTCAGCTACTTACAGTTATTTTTCCATATAATCACCACCATTCGTTATGCACTTTTGTCATCGATGAACAAGAGCCTGTATGCCGCGCCCGTAAAAGTCTGCGCCAGCAGAGGCTAGCGACTTTCTTACAGCTGCAATGACAGTATCGTTGTCTGGAAAATGTTGCCCACGTAGTCCATATTTCATAGGCCCAAAGAGATGGAAGTCTGAAGGTGCTAAATCGGGGCTATAAGGTGGATGTGGTAGAACAGTCCAGCCAAACTTTGCAATGTGCGCGGTGGTCGCCAAACTGGTAGGGGGTCTAGCGTTGTCGTGTTGCAAGCGAAAGGTTGTCTGCTTCTCTGGCCTGACTCGGAAAATACGGGCTTTCAGCTTAGTCAGCGTCGTCTTGTAGCGTTCAGAATTGACAGTCCCTGATCTATTCGGATAAGGCGCTCTTCATTGTGAGGAGTGGCAGCTGAGCAGGGATGCCCATGGCGTGGCTTGTCGTGCACTTCACTTTCGCCACTGTTGAAACGCACTACCCACCGAATCACTGTGCTTACATCCACTGTATTGTCTCCGTACACCTTTAGCAAGTGTCGATGGATGTCAACGGGTACAATTTGTTCGGCAGTGAGAAATTCAATAACACATTTCTCTTTCATACGCACTTCTATGTCAGACACCAATTTGGTAGACTGCTCTGCTGTCGCTATCTGTCGCACGACAACCAAATTAACAGTACATTGGCGGGAATGTTAAACCTTTACTACAACACCACCAACATCCAGCTCAGACGTTACATATTAACACAAAAAAATAGGAGGCATTATATACGGAATGCACCACGTACATTGTTAGGATAGGGTGCTGAGGAGAATATTTAGGCCAAAGGGATGAAGTGAAAACTGCATTATGAGGAGCTTCGTAACTTGTACTCTTCTCCAAGTATAATTAGAATGATAAAGTCAAGGAGGTTGAGGTGAGCAGGGCATGTAGAATGAATCGGAGAGAAGAGGAATGCATATAGGATATTTGTGGGAAAGCCAGAAGGAAAGAGACCACTGGGAAGACCAAAGCATACGTGGGTGAACAATATTAAAATGGATATTATATTTAAAGTATCCTGTTGCGTTACACTTCTATATGTAATAATAGAAATGCCGTTGTGATTGCAACATGAGATGTTGGCGAGATTTTAAAACAAAACAGACAGGCTGATGTTTTAGATTTTGGATTGTGTGCAGCGTGACGGCTACGTAGTGAAAAATACACCTGATGATGGCCAGTTACGACCGAAACATGTAGTGAAGAGGAAGAAAAGACAGAGATATACAACCAAATAAATTGTTGCATTCGCGATGGCATTTGTATTATTACATATAGATTAAAATGGATCTTAGAGAGATAGGATGGATTGGTGTGGCTCAGGATAGGGACCGGTGGAGGGCTCTTGTGAACATGGCAATGAACCTTCAGGTTCCATAAAATGTGGCAATTTCTTGAGTAGCTGCAGATTTGGCTTCTCTTCAAGAAGGGCTCAGCTCCATAAGTAAGTAAGTAAGTATATTGTTAGGGCTGTCAGCCTGAGCCAGCTGAATCTATTTCACACCTTCTTTCATTATGATTCATTTTAATGTGATCTTACCTTCTTCTCTGTCTTACAAAGGATGACCCTTTGTGATCATCTGGGATGCAATGCTATGTGATTTCATTGGAGGTACCAATATTTCAAGGGACTATCTTTAAGATCTTTAAGGTTGGGGCACAAAACTATATAGTGTGACATCCAGTATGACTGTGAAAACCTCACACTCATAATGTGACACTGAGTCACTACTAATATTTCACATACAGACTGGAAGTAATTTTTTGGAATAATGAAGACACTTCAAATTGGTACAAAAGTCTGGGGAAAGAACAAACACATAATGAGAGGTAATTACTGCAGTGCGGGCTCGTCCCTACATGCATCATTGGTGGTAACAAGAGGCACTTGAAATACCTTCCTTAATATGAAGCACCATGGAACTAAATGTGCGGCATCTACATGTGTCCACCCCCATTTCCATACCTTACTTACCTACAAGTTTTATCAAAAAAGTTCTTAACTAATGCAGGCAACCGCAATTTGCCTTTTTCACACCTAATACAACTAGCTGGCACTTGCTATCAGCCAACATCGGCCGTAACGCAATATCTTACTTTTATAGCTGCCATGCATCTCTGCAGTGGTCTACATGTTACTGCACTAAAACCTGCTGCATTCAGAGGTAACTTCTGAAATTATAAATATTTCATACATCTGGTAGGCTTCCTTGGGCGGCACACGGGCCAATCGCAGGGCCTCTACACATACAACACAATATAAATACAGGAAAAACTTGTACATTCATTCCCTGAGTAGGATCTGAACCCATGAATCCAGGATTCAAATGACCGAAGTCAGTACACGGCATACAACCTACAACAGACTGCAGAACAAGACGCAGGGCACTCATGCTGTCAAGTTTGTGCCTTGTTGCAGATGGGAGGGCCAGGCCACTGGACTGGATCTGGGGATCTCTGACAATTACAAAGCAGTGCACTGGACTCCAATGAGGGCCCGCATACTCCAGGAGCTGTACCACGAGACTCCCCTGTCCATGCAGTGCAACCAGTCCACAGGGGAGAGATTCCCAGGCTACTGGGAGAACATGCCAATCACACCTGTGTTATTCCCACTGCCGCCCCATCCCAGGGACTGTGCCACACATCCCTAGGAGCCCTGGCCCTGTAGTCAAGTGTAGACACATTCTTGTATAATAAACACTGAAGGCAATGCAACACTTTCCTACGTAACTGTGTGCTGCAAGTGACATGGGGGTCTTCCCCCATGTAATCTTAACCTGAGCACTGCATGTTAAGTACCAAACATTGCAGTTGAATGGTTAGCACCCTGCTTTCTATCTGGAATGTTGTTGCAAGATTTGTCACAACTTTCCTCAATCCTTCCATATTCCAGGGCTGTACCTCAAACTGAAAGGTCATACCATGTCATTCCCAATTCACTGTTCACTCATTCATACCATCATTAGACACTATATGGCATTAACTACTGACAGTGTCATTAAATAAACCATACATATGTAAATAAGTAAAAAAATAGTTATTCCTGTGCTTAACTAATTAAATACTACACCATGAAGATGTATGGGGGAGCAGATGTATACATCCACGTTTTCTTGACCTCAGCACTACTTTATGATGAGTGGTCAGCTTCACACCCCACGCCGCTTTACCCCTGGAGAAAGAGGCCCCAGTACCAATTGGAAAAAAAAAAAGAGGTTGGCCCTCAGTACCTTGATACTTCCCCCATCTACCAGAGGCATTGAAACTACTTGGGCAGGAAATTGTTGCCTAATTTAGCTCAGAGGTCTCATAGACATGAGGTTCTTTTACGTGCTGTAAATCTACAACACGGGACACATGGCTTAAAGTCCCTCCGGAGGACTTGTTCCCTGAATTTTTCTGCACTTAAAAATTCCACGACCTCCGCCGGGTTTGAACCCGCGTACCTTGAGTCATGAGGTGGGAACGTTACCCGTAGACTACGGAGGCCACTCAGGTTAAACGTAAGTCTGTGGATGAATTTTCTGGCTGCTTCTCCTTGGGAAAAATCCTGGCAGTACCCATTGTTTGAGCAAAAAATTCTAGTCTCCTTGCTCTGAAGATGGCAATGTTCAGGGAGCCATGACAATCTGTTCCGCATGCACCGTTCCGCATGCACCGTTCCGCATGCACTGACACATTCAGACATTCCCACAATTTTAATATCAAATACCAGACATTACATTTCTGCATATTTTTCTCAAAAATAGTTTGGGCAATTTTAAGAGTATTACATTCAAAAACTTGGTGATTTATATAGGTAACTTATGTTACATAGTATCCTTAAGAGTGTGAAGCCTCAGAGAATACAATGGACTGGGAATACAACTAAGATGGGGGATGCAAAGAATGCATACAAAAATCTGATGGGTGAAAACACTTTGAAAATAGAAACTACAAAGTTAAAAAATTCTGGAAGGTAATATTTAGACAGATCTCAGGGAAACAGCAGGTGACATGGACAAACATCACAAAGGATCATTGTGCGCTCTGGTATTAGCGATAGAATGCTTTTGGCTTATTCCATCTGAAAGTTATGTTCAAAATATTATTTCTGTAAACTGCCCTATCCTTGCTTCCTGATTGTGCTGACAGTCAAAATCTGCCTGACAAATGTGAACTGTGCAAAAGAGCTCTGGGGAGAAATATACAATTTTTATATATGAAGCAATGGACAGCGAGAAGTAAGGGTGAGCACCATAAAACCTACATGGCCACAATTTACCTAGACTGACATACAGCAACTGCACTAACGGCTACACGACACCTTGATAATCTGATCATGAAATTAGTTTTCATTTACATGTTGGGTAAAGTCCACTAGCTCCCAGCAGTTTATGGAGCAGTCTGATCACAAGTGGACAAGTTCCAGTCTTACAGCTGCTGCTTCTCTCAGGAATGGCAAAACTAATGCTAACCTCTACTGTCGACTTTCGTGACACAAACTTCATATAAGCTGCTCCACTCTACGCTTCTGAATGGGGACACTAACCCTAAACTTCACACATTCACCTATAAAAAGAAGGCTCCAAATTATTGGACCAGTTATAACTTTTTATCAAAAGGTTGATTCTGCTATACAAGGTGTGGCAATAAAGAAACCGGATTCATGCTCTAACCCTTTATTAAAAAAAAATCAGNATGAAGCCTTTTTTTTTTTTTTTGCATACAGAGATTTGATAAGAGCACATATTTTGAAAAACTCAACACTTCATGTAACCGATGCAGTGACAGTGAATTACATGCCCACTACTGCTCATGACTATATTATCATTATACATGAAACATTACTTACCTGTGAACTGCCCACTACAGATAGTCTGGTAACAGCAGCTTCATAGCTTCAAGTATCAACACATCTGGGAACTGAAAACAACTCGTTTGGCTGGCTGCCACAAACCAGGAGTAACAGCAGGATGGTTGAGGGAAGAGAGCCCCCTTCCAAATTATTTTGTTGGAAAGCATTCTAGAAATACATTTTAATTATAATATAGTTCTCTAAAATACACTTATGCCTTATGAGCAGAGGCCCCCCATAAAGGGGGTCGTACCTTCAAAACAAAACTTATTTAGTACTTTTTACACAGTAGACAGTAGAATCCAACAGGCAAGAATAATATTTGATTACTTATTGCTTCTTCTGAGACTTCTTTGTGACCTGAACAATAAATAATAAACGCTAAAAATGTCATGATTAATTTTGATACAAACTGCTATCACAGTGTTCTGGATCATGATCGCATAGAATGGTGGGGGGCCACCCACCAACATTACAAACTTCTGGCACCTACTATTCACCGTCACATTTACCAAAAAAAGAAGATGCCTTTCATTTAAATTTTGGTATCTATGACACCACACATTAAGATGAACACTGTTCTTTGTCTTATCATTTCATCAACAGCTAATGACGATTTTGCAGACTTGGAAAAAAAAACTGGGTATCATGAATATGTAAGCGATTTTATCAAAACGCACAACCTGAATAACAAATTTACATTTGTTTAATAAAGGCACTTCCTTCCCAGTAAATGTTACAAACTTGCATCACAATATCATGGCCTCTGCTTGCACCTACACTGTGAGCTCTGCTTTGAGTATGTCATCCAGCAACTGCCAGCATGAACTTAATATAGAATTACACTACAACATAGAAACCAGCCCATAACAGTGTAAGTACAGGCTGCCCACAAAGCTACTCACTAAGAGTTTTGTACACAAAAATAATAAAACTATTTACACTGATGGCAAAAACTACTACAAGTAAAATAGCGTCTCACATGAAGGCACTTGGGTCTGCCACTCCTGGCAAGGTGTAAGGCACATTCTGATTGTGGAGTTTGGTCCTGCAGAAACAATCACAGATAAAAACTGGTCCACGGAGTGACATGCAAGAACATCTGTGTGTTAACAAAATGATTTGTACAACAGTTCACAACACTAAATATAGATGGCTTCCGCTTGTTTCTGGTGCTGACTGCTTGCCACATAAGCATTTGCCACTGGACTGTGAATTCCTTCTGACCAATCAGAGTTGGAATGTGGTGAGGATGAGGACCAATGTCCAGGAGATTCTGGAGAAGGTGTAGGGAAGTTCTCTGGTGCCTGGATGTAGTGCTGAGGTGTTGCCTCTGGGTTCTGCGAGTGCTGGCTGGGAGGTGTGAGGTAGTGATAGTAGTTTGCATTCTGCTGCTGCTGCGGTTGCTGCTGCTGTTGTTGCTGCTGCTGCTGCTGTTGCTGTTGCTGCTGATTGCTGACACCTCCAGCACCCATTGGCTGCTGCAGCTGCAGGTTTGCCAACTGCTGTGATGCGCCATATCCCAGTGGGACCTCTGCTGAAGCTGAGAAGTCGAAGCCCATGACTAACTGCTGCTGCTGTGGGATGCCCCCATGTTTCTGGTGGGTCGCAGCCCTCATGGCTGCAATGTGTGTGGGAGAGGTGGGAAGTGAGGGTCGTGACTTCGCAGGGGACGGGGACCCCATGTAGCTGGTGGGAGGAGACATGGTAAGGCTGGAGTTTACGCTGTGGGGTGGGGACTGCTGGTTGCTGTAGGGGGGAGATAATGTGTTGGGGTGCTGCATCTGCTGCATCTGTGGCTGCGATGGAATGCTGAGGGGGAGTGAAGTCTGCCGGCCATGTTGCTGGGGCAGTCCCTGCTCGTGAAACACAGGCAGACCTCCATAGTTCCCTCCCCCGTATGAGTCCATACCGATGTTATGCAGGCTCTGCATGGAGGTAGCTCCTTTGATGCAATCCTCATAAGATGGGGGCTGCTTGCCCATAAGCCCACTGCCCCCATCCAGCCCAGCATGATGGAGCTGAGCCAGGTTGAGGCCGCCATTGCTGTATAGAGAGCTGTCATAGGGGCTTGGCGTTCCATCTGTTGTGCTCAAGCTGCCAACTGTGCGTGGGGATTCAAGAGAGGTGACAGGTGATGCCACACTCTCCACACTCTGAACACCATGAGGCGGCTCTGGTGGGGCCTGTGTCCCTGGTTTCTTGTTGCTCTTCTTAACACTAGGTTTCCGGCGCACTGTCACCACTGTCCCCTCTACGTCAGGGCTAGTGGGAGAGTTACCAGTCGCTCCTATCAGTCCGCCACTGATAGTGCCAGCCTTTGGCCGCTTCTTGGATTTGGATGGTTTGGCACCAGCACCTATTACTGTTGGGTGTGTTATTAGGTGATGGTGATGGCCAGGAGAGCCTGCAACAGAATATTCTGCTACAAATGTGCCCCCATAGTAAAACTCACCACCTGACAGTCTGCAATCACGCTCACCTATGATGGGCCCACTGGGTATCACGGTAACCAACTGCGGACTCCTGGGAACATGTTCGTCCAGTAACCGCACGATGTCATGATGCAGTCTTTCACCAGCCACATCACGAGGCAGCCTGTCCATGTGGTCGGTGATCTCACGGTTTGCAAAGTTGTCGAGAAGTGCCTTGCAGGCTTCGTAACTACCTTCACGTGCTGCCAGGAACAATGGGGTCTCATCCTGCACCGCATGAAATGTAATCATGTACCAGGAACATGATTCGGACAAATTTTGTAAAATGAGATATAGTATGCACCTTACTTGTCAGCACCTCAAATCTCTTAAACAGCAATACATGTTTTATACACTCATATATACACGCAGTGTGTCTGCATGACCAAAGTATGTACCCTCTCTGATCCTGAAATTGTGGGTTATCTTGTTGCGTGAATGTTGGTACAATGAGTATTGGCAAATATTAATACATTATATTTCCGCACAGGATGCACAATAAAACTGTCTACACAGAATATAGTTCTGTTTCACATAAGGAAGATGACTGTCCTGCTTTCACAATACACTACAGCAAAATCTTTCTTCCTGTGATTCTGCAAATCATGCAAGCAGTCAGCCAGTATAATCAGTTTGAATTCATAAAATTCATCAATAAGCAACCTCGATTTCTGTGTGCTAATACAGAATTTTCAGTGAACAGATGAAGTGTTTCTTGGGGCACATGCTTTACATTTAAAAGGAATGAGAAAACTGCAAATTCCAATGGCAGGACAACTAGAAGAGAAGATTCTAAAACAGCGAGCTCCATGACTTTTGAACAAACCAAGATGGTGGTGACATGCCTGAATTACCTTGTCATCCTGCGCATCTCTGTTTGCTCCATGTGACAACAAGATGTTGACTGCATCTACATTGTTCACAGCAGCTGCCCAGTGCAACGCTGTTTTGGTGGAGTTATCAGCAGCATTGATGTCAGCATCAGCATTGATCAGATCCTCTACCATGCCTTCAATAGCCAGTCTTGCTGCCAGAATGAGAGGCGTAGTGCCATCATGCATACGGGCATTCAGGTTTGTGGCTCGGTTACGAAGAAGAATCTGCAATGTTAATAGGTACACTCAACAATCAGGATATGATCTGCGTCAACAGTGAAGGCTTGTTGGAGTGTATTCCACAGTAACATATTTGTATATTTCAAATGAAGGTACATCCTTGAATACTCAACTGAAACATCATAAAGCAAATGTGAAAATATTTCAGTCAGAAGTACCTATATAGCATTCTAAACAACATTATTGCATACGCCAATTTTCAGACTTTAAGATTAAATTTCAGATCTGTGACGTCTGTTGTAAAAACTGAAAGAAAGAAAACTGTGTTACTCTTACAAGCCTGTCACATGCAATACAATGAAACGGAAGGGACATTCGCTTATTGCTGCAGCTCTGAATGCAAGTGTGTCGTCATTACTGACACTGCATGGCCAATTTCCATAACAGTTTTCTCCAAAATTCATTTCAGATTTTCTCTCACATTAATGACCGGCTACTACTAATAATAACTTCTGCCATCGTTCATCAACTTACAAATCACAAAACATTACTGCATTTTTGCCCTTCAGAGTCTATGATATTTCCTCCTGTGTGTCATATGGGATGTTCTCATGGTAGTGTCTACAAACATTACTGTCTTCTGGCATGACGCCATGCAGTGTGGTAGACATTTACTGATATTCTGAAGGAAAGTGCTATCTCCATTTTCAGGGTATCACAACCATTTCTTATGTATGTAGGTAAGTTAACAAGTAAGTTAAAAATGGATATAGAATTTAAACAAATAATAGTACTGATATGAAAAATGCTTTATTTCTCAACATAATCTCCCTGTACACTGAGGCACTTGTCCCATCATTTCACAAGCCCCTGAAAACCAGCAGCATAAAATTTGTTGGGCTGCTGTCGCAACCTGGCGGTGACTTCCCTACAAAAGGGTAACTATAGACATTATAGCCACTGCCATTGGTTCTTCACATGGCATGGCCTACCTCATAATGCATGACACGTTAGGTTTTCACGAAGTCTGTGCATGATGGGTGTCGCGCGTGCTGACCCCACAACACAAAATGCAAAGAATGGGTCTGGCATTACAGCATCTCAATCGTTACTACGATGAAGGACACGATATGCTAGCCCGAACTGTCACAGGTGACGAGTCTTGCTCCAAGCGACTCCCATTTGTTCGGCCCTCTTAAACATCATCTTTCAGCTGAACATCTTCCCAACGATGAAGCTGTAGAAAGGGAAGTCACCGCCTGGTTCCGACAGCAGCCCAAAGAATTTTATGCTGCTGGTTTTCAGGGGCTTGTGAAACGATGGGACAAGTGCCTCAATGTACAAGGAGATTATGTTGAGAAATAAAAGCATTTTTCAAATCAGTACTCTTATTTGTTTCAGTTCTATATACATTTGTAACTTACTTATTGACTTACCCTCATACAAAATATTACAAAGCTGCAAGTATTCCAGTGGGGCGTTTAGAACAAACTCTATGTAATGCATACACTTCAACCATTTATATTTAAATTACTTCATGTGTTCACCTTATATTGTAATATTACGTAACTGGAGGTTAGGTGATGGGCTTGCAGCATGTACATGATTTTTAATGTTATGAATATCTATTTGAGTGTTTTCAAATTTCATAAACTCTTGTAACATCATTGCCCCGCTGCATTCTGATGATAACACATTAACTTGCACTCAAATTTCCCCACAGAACTTATGACGATCATTCTCTCCCTCTGAATCACAATTTGTTAAAAGAAACTATCATAGATGTTATCAGTACCTCAAGCTCTTTAAAGGCCACTTACAGCCATGCATGAATATGATTTAAATGCCAAGTGGTGGTGAACTATGACAGTTTACCAGCAGACAGCAGAAAGGTCTTGCACATAGGACTCCACACCTTTACTGTCTTCTGCCATTGCTTGGCTTGCTCTTCCACCCTGAACATGGAGTCAGTAGGGCCCTTAAAAATGTTGGTAATCATCTACCCCATTATACAGCATTAATTTTCACAGTCACTGCTGTGAGAACATCAAATCTCAAAATCAAAACTACCCTTTTAGCTTACTTTAAACCCTCCTTCCTGTTGTGACAACCAGTCTGCTCAGCTCACCTGGAACACTCCCATAGCATCAGCCGCAACAGCTGCATGCAACGGTGTTCGGCCAGTATTATCCTGAGAGTTTGCATCGGCTCCCGCATCTAGAAGTCTCTTAGCTGCATCTGCTCGTGCATAGCGAGCAGCAAGATGAAGGGATGTCTCCCCAGTCTTATCCATTGTTGCGTTCAGTTTAGCACCTTGAGCTACCAAGTCCGCTATAACAGCAGCTGTTCCATCCTCTTCCTCATCTTCCCCCGTGTCCATCCCACCACCACGAACAGCTGCCACCATGAGTGGTGTCATTCCGCATGGGCCACGAACATCCACATCCTGTGTTCCATCCTGCAGCAGTATGGACATTTGTAACAAAGACTGAGAGGGCAGATTATGGGGCAACTCCAGTAGTACAAACGGCACACATTCTCGTCCCACAGATGGGAGGGACTGCGAGGCCCCATAACACAAGAAGTAACAGCTTCGGTGAACCAAGTGGCCACCCACTGCATTTTCACTGATTGAAATACTACTACACTACAATTGCTACATAAGAAAAAATTTCACGTGCACAAACTTTTATTGAAATGCCTGAAGCCTCTACTTGAACTTTCTGTGACTGGATAATTTGAAAATTCAAGGTAAAGACTGTAACAGTATCATGAGACAGGAAACTCAGAATTCTTAAGCAAAACATCTGTCACACTTTGCAATGAGGATGCTTTCATGCCAGCAACTTCAAGTCAAGTCAACGCACCAGGCTTGGGGGAGTCAGAATTGCTGGATCTGGTCTCTGTCGTATGTCTGCTGCTTCCAGGTGCTGCTGGGTCCACATTCGAGGCTCACTCTCATCATAGTCAGTGATGGCTGTGTGGTCACTTGCATAACCAGCCTCACAAGCACGAATTCTCTTGGGAGGGGGCAGGTCAGACTCATCATCAGACCACTGGGGGCCACCACCATGCTGCCCACCCATGGCATGCGGGGGTATGTCCACATCAATGCACCCAGGAGGCTGCTTATTTAGGTTGCGCATCTCCTGCCCGTCAGGTCCCCGTCGACGAGACTGCCGTCGCTGCCCACTGGAAAACAGAAATAACCAACTGAGAGTGTGAAAGTACCAATGTTCTATGCTACTGCACCAACTGCACAAGTTACACTGTGACAATTTAAATATTTGCCTGGGACTTGCCAAGCCAAGAAAGATTTCACAAAATAAAATGGAGCATTCCTTCAGCTGATCAAGATATGCTCCTTCACAGAACCCATTGGTTCATCACCGTCTTCACCACTGTACCACCCCAATGCAAGTTCATACAGCCTGGTCTCCCAACAATTTCTTTCTTTCTGCTTTCCCAATCAAAATGCTGTATGCATATCTTATTTCTCCCAACCATGCTACATGTCCTGACTTCTTGTCATTCATTAAACTACCCAAACAATGTTGCATGAAGACTATGAATTGTGAAGTGCTGTATGTAATTCATCCATTCTCCTGTTAGTCAACTACTCATTCTCATGTCCAAATATTCGGAGTAAAATGTGATTTGAGATCACAGAGCACGTGCACACACTAACCTGTTATTGCGGAAGAATCCTTCAGGGAACCATGTGATGCCTTGTGCACGTTTCCGGTGGGCAGCTACCAGCACTCCGATCAGCAGTCCAGCCAAGAGAACCAGCACAACTCCAATGAACACGTACTTCACATTTGTGGTGGCCTCAGCCGGCTCTGACGGTCCAGTCACACCTCTCACTTGATGTATGGGGAACGAGGACACCAGGGAGTGTCTAGCTGCTGTCGCTGCAATGTAGTCAGCCGCCTGAAACATTCGCCATGTGATTATCATCACTTCAGTTACAGCATGCTCAAAAGTCTTTATCCACCCGATTTTGTGACTGTAACTTTCATCAGAGATTTCCAATCTGTTCCCAGTATGGATAAAGCATGTAAAGTAATGTGCTCAGTTTATCAGTTCTCAAATGGGACCTTATGGAGAAACAATCAGATAAGTATACAAATGGCATGCTTGTAGGTCTTTGTGCACTTTGTTCTTAATGAAAATGTTTCTCTCTCTCTCGCACACACACTTCCATTTACCCCCTTTCTTGCATCATAATCTCTCTCTCATGATATTGCAAGCATATAACCTCTCCACTGAAGCAGTGTATGGCACCATATCAAACACATCCCATGCTCTCTGAACCATGGTAACCATTATCTGTGCTCGTCACCATGTTCACAGAATTACGCACTGCTCTCCCAAGTCATGAAAACCAAAAAATACAATTACTGCAAACAACAAAAAAATGGAACACTCAAAGAATACTGTAACATGTACAGTTGTTGCTATGCAACGATTGTAAGAAGAAACATGCATTGCTTGGTAACGGACAGTAAACAAGTCAACAACAACCAGGCTACTGCTAAGCAACTACTCAGTAAATGGGTTCCAGCGACAATGGACGAGGTATTGTAGGACTATAAAAATATAAACAGCATTTCCTATGTGGTTTGTGCCTAACTGTTATAAGCAGGGCCAGCTGAGTTCCGAAGTTGAGGTTATCAGCTGAGAAGTCAGCCCATGAAGAATACAGTTAGCTGCAAGACTGTGGCTGTGAAAAGACGACTTTGTGTGATATTTGGAATGTGTAATTCAGTGAGACTGTTACAGTTCCTATGTTAAATCTGTTGCAAGGAAATGGCTAGTGGAGGCTGTAACAGACTAAGGACACTAGTCTGCATCTCGCTGTGATCTGTAAAGCGTACTTTCAAGTGGTGTATACAAGGTGCTATCAGAAAGTTCCTGGACCGTTATTCTTGTCCTTGCCTCGGTGAAAGAAGCTGACAGGGGAGGCCAAGGTTACACTTCCCCAAGTATTGCATCAGTCTGCCATGTGACACAATGCTGTGAACACACACTGCTTTTTTTGACATTGTTTCATTTTGTTTGTGATGGATGGCAAAATTGAGCAATGTGTCTACATTAAGTTTTGCATGAAGCTCGGTAAATTCACTACCAAAATCCCTGAAATACTTCATAGGCTTTTGGAGAACATTCTTCAAGACAAACAGCAGATTTTGAATGGCATTCATGTTTCAAGGCCAGCTGAGTGTCAGCTAAAGATGATGAAAGTTCAAGGCAACCAACCACCAGCAAAAAGACAGAAAATGTTGAAAAAACTCGAGATCTCATCCATAAAGACCATCACCAAACAATTCATAAGCTCACAGACACCGTTAGGATCAGTTATGGAGTTTGCCAGGACATCTTAACAGAAAATTTGAACGTGTGTCGCACCGCCTCATAATTTGTTCCCAGACTCTTGACAAATGATCAAAAGCAGTGACACATAAATGTGTGTCTTGAGCTATGAGAGAAGGCTAGTGAGGACCCAACTTTTATCTCTAGGATCATAACGGGTGATGAAAGTAGGATTTATGGTTATGATCCAGAAAAAAAGCAACTGTAGCAGTGGAAGAGTCCACAAACACTAAGAGCAAAAAAGGTGCAGCTGGTCTGAATTCAAGAAAGAGCATGCTCATTCTGGTTTTTTTTTTTTTTTTGATGTGAAGAGGATTGTTCACCAATTGTGTGATGAAAGACTTCCATGGTTTTCCATAAAGCAGCACTTGTCTGACTCCCCCTGATCCAGATCTGAGCATAACCTGGCTGAGACAACAGTCATTCCCAGCAGTCGTGACAAGTAACAACACTCCTATTGCGTTCACAGATACAACAGTGACTGACCAGTGCCATGGTCACAACCCCGACACACTAAAACAGCAATGCCCACACATACAAAGTTACTGACACAATGGTAGGGGCCTCTGTGATAAACATTTGAAAGACAAACAAACTTCTCCGGCTCTGTTACGGTCACCTGCATATAACACACACATCCTTAGTTTCACCAGCCACAGTGGTGTATCTTACCTCATTAGCCGTTGGGAAGCATACTGCTCCCTCGGTAACAGTGCATTTTCGGTTGTCCAGTTCCAGATATGCTATCACTCCAGATGGACCCACGAAAGAGTCATGACCACCCGGCACAGATGGTTTCCATGGGTAGATCATGTCACTGCCTTGTTCATCCTTCTTCACACGGAGAGTAGTTCGCAGCTGGTGTCCAACCTACACGAATCACAAGCTTTGATGTAGTCCAGTGTAGCAGCAGCCATTACTGAACACAACAGTAAACTTCTGAAGCCTGGATGATACAAATATTTAAAAATTTGGTTTTGAGCTCACAGGAAAACACCCTGAATGTTCATTACAAAGATTATCAATTACTGCCGTATAGGGGAAATCGCTGCTGTTAACCGAATCCTACAAAACAGACAAATATAATCTGTGGGTGAAGTCCAACATTTTTCGATGTCAAGGCAGACAGCACCACCTTACTTTGAAGTGTTAATCCATACTTACCTCGCGGAGAAAGGCGACTAGTTTCTCTCGGAATGTCTGCATGCTCATCAGCACCACTACGGAAATCATGCCCTCTGCAACCTTGGGCTGCTGTAGTTCACAGTCCAAGCCGTCCCAGTTGCACTCCTCATTGTTGCAGCCATAATCGCAGTGGCCATTGGCATAGTGCTTCTGGCAGTATGCATCGTAGATCGGACTGCAGCAACAAGATAACAATTGCCTAAACACTGTGAACGGCTACCACACAATAATACATGTACATTTAGAAATTTCTATTGTGCCAGACGCCAGTGGGTAGCACAAAGAATAAAAATAGCACCAAATACAGCTATGGGCCACTCACCTCAAAGGACTGGGCTCTGTTAGCAAGAGTGGCTGCAAGGTACGCAACACAGAAAACACTAGCAGATGGCATTAACAAGTTTGCTGTCAAAAAGCAGCAAACTGCTTAATATGATAATCTGGTCATCTTGATGTACTTACTCCCTTTTCTACACTCAAAAATTCTTTTGTGCTTTAGCACCATATCCACGACAACTACATTGCAAAATTAACTGTGTAAGTACCACATGTTATGTGCAGTATGGCCACCTGATGATGATCGAAAAATAACATCTGAGCCAGTTATAGGACCTTCAAACTGAATAATAAAACAGTGACATCATGTTTCACCTGTGACTTGCTTCTTTTGCAGTTCTGGTTCACATCCCATATGAACACACTGAAGATTATAATCTTCAGTGTGTTCATATGGGATGTGAACCAGAACTAATAATTATTAGTACTATCATCCTTTAAAGTAAGCATCCCTGTCCACACACTATCTCTCCCTTCCCTACATGTGAAGTAAGCAATGACACTGTAGGACATGGAAGTTCTGTGAGGTTTCCAGTGTTTTAATTTGGTCAAATACAATTAGAAATCAATACTGGATGTGCTAAGAAAAACATACGTAACAATGCATTTCATACGTTTCAGCACACAGGAGGAGGCCCAAGGTTATTCTTACTTTCTAGAATGTAAACATGAAACATTCTGACATGTGCTTTAATACTTCACAGTTTTCAAATTCATAAAAGTGCAATTTCTTTCACAAATAACTTGAAAATCCACTATGCTATCATGTCTGCATGCTACAAGAATGTCTGAAAAGGAAAAAAATGACAATGCTTTTGATACTAACAGATGTGGTTCATTCTGTTTATGAATTCAATTAATGGCACTGTCAGTGGGCCAAGCTACATGTCACAAGCCAAGAACATATGTGATGTCAACAATGCAACCTCACAAATGTGTTCCCCAATGTCCGCTTCTTAAACATCAAGTAAAAACTCATGTTGAACTGCAGACTGCAGTTTGTGCTCACTGTGTGAAAAGGAAGGCTATTAAAGAAGGCCGGAACTGAGACTAACCAACTGTTGACCAACCAGACTTACTTGCATGGGCTGAGGCTCTTCTCACAATCACGACCGTCAAACAAGCACTGTGGGTTGTTGCACACCATGTCACACTTCCCGTTCATGAACACCTCCCAGCAGTTGATGGGAGCCGTACAGTTGCGCCAAGGGTTGATACCCAGGGAGCAGTCATTTCCATCAAAATTGCATGCGTATGTATAGCATTCCTCGTCGCACTGCAAGTTGCCAGCCTTATCTCTGCAACCATTGGCAATGCACTTTGCTCGCTGCTCCTCCAGGTCTGAATCAATTGCAGCGATAGTGTTGGTGGGGATGCGGTTTGGCTTAGGCATGGCATGGCCCCACCCTGCACGGAAGATAGGGTTGTAGATGTCACAATTCTTTCCACCCCAAAAGTCAGGGCAGTGACACCCATAATCTCCTAATCGATCCTGGCACAGTGCCCCACCCTTGCACGGATTACTGGCACACTCGTTGCTGGCGTCCAGTTCACAGAACTTTCCTGTCGTGCCAGAAGGACAGTTGCACCGATAACCACCTCCATCCACAAGCACGCACACACCACCATATTGGCAGGGATTGGAGTCGCAGTCTGAACCAGAAAACTCACAGTTTGTGCCATAGAAGCCCTCACGGCACACGCAGGAGTGTCCCGCCTCATATGCATTGCAGATACCTCCATTCTGGCAAGGAGAGCTCTCACAGAAGTTTACTTTCATCTCACAGTGATGCCCCATGTAGCCAGGCTTGCAGTTACAAACGTAGTTGTTTACAAGTTGAACGCAGTCTTGTGTGCCCTGTGATGAACATGGGTTTGAAAGACACTCATTGATGTCTCCCTCACAGCGAGGGCCCACAAAACCTGGTGGGCAGCGGCACTCAAACCCCCCAACACGGTCCACGCACGTTCCATTGTTGTGACATGCCCCAGGCACACAGTCATCCACGTTGATGTCACAGATGATGCCCAGTGCACCTGCACAGCCAGAAATAAAGTGAAAACAACACAGAAAATAAGATGGCAAATTTACAACACGTACTACTACATGCATACATAAATACGTTAAGGAATGATGATGCCATGGTGTCAGTGCGAAAAAAATACAACAGAATTATATTTGGCTACTGTTAGAGCTGATAAAATGAGCATGAAATAAGTGTTTAACACTAGGAACTGTGGGAGATAAAGCTAATTAATATAAACAGAAAAACAGAGACTGCAGAATCCAGAAATGTATGTGGCATGACTGTGCATCACACGTACAGCCACACACACTGAGTGCTATATCACGGTGCAAGAGAAACAAATAAAACAGACATCAAGGGTCCCAAACAATTTTCATGATTTAAGGACCTTCTTATCTTCAGGTATTTTGGCTTACATTCCATTCTTAAGGAAACATACGTGGGGCAATCCAAAAGTTTCCGAAATTTGAATTTTGCGCGTGAACAGTTAAGAGTACATCAAAATACCGCTAGGTGTCTCCTCACACATCCTTCTTGAATCAGTGTGGCAAGCGGCATCGAGTTAAGTGGTTGGGTTGATTGTTGGTGAACGTATTTCCATTGTTGTGTTTCCGTGAGTTTGCGGTTTTGCGATGGCTGACCTGAGAGAGCGGCGTGTCTGTATAAAGTTTTGTTTCAAACTTGGTAAAACTGCTGCAGAAACGCATCAAATGTTGAAGCAAACTTTTTGTGAAAACAGTTTAGGCCAGACACAAACTTACAACTGTTATACGCGTTTTAAAAATGGCCGAATATTGACTGATGACGACGATCGTTCGGGACAGCCGTCAACGGGCAAAACATCAGAAAATGTCACGAAAGTTAGGGATCTGATTCTGCAAGATCGTAGACAGACCACCCAATAACTCTGTAACACCCTGGGACTAAGTTATGGTACATGTCAACGAATTTTGACAGAGGAACTGAACATGAGGAGGATTGCGGCAAAGTTTGTGCCACGACTGCTGCAAAATGAACAGAAGCAGCATCGCTTGGAAGTCTGCGGGGAACTTCAGCATCAGCTTCAAGAGGATCCGAACTTTCTTTTGAAGGTTGTCACTGATGACGAAAGTTGGGTTTATGGCTACGGCCCTGAAAGCAAGCAGCAATCGTCACAATAGAAGAGCCCTTCTTCACCTCGGCCAAAAAAAGCTCGACAAGTCAGGAGCAACATTAAGTCCATGTTGATCTTTTTTTTTATAATGACAGGACTGTTCATAAGGAGTTCATCCCTCCTGGTCAGACAGTTAATAAAGAGTTCTGCTGCGATGTTCTAAGGCGTCTGAAGGAGAACATGAGGAGAAAACGTCCAGAGAAGTGGAGCACAAACGACTGGGTACTCCACCATGACAACGCACAACTGCATACGGCTTACATTGTGCAGGAATTTTTGGCTAAAAACAAGATGGCAGTTGTTCCCCACCCACCGTACTCGCCAGACTTAGCTCCATGTGACTTCTTTCTCTTCCCCAAGATGAAAATCAAGATGAGGGGGTGAATTGGATATCCCTCTTCTAAGAATTCCAATTGAGTGTGTTAGTGTAGCCAGCTCAGGGCAATATGATATTATAAACACATTACACATCACGTCTCTGCGCATAGAACGAATAAACAGNCGGTGTATGCGCTCCCAAGGGGACTACTTTGAAGGTGATGGCGCAGAATAAGATCTAGGTAAGATGTAATAGTTTTTATTAATATATTTTGGGAACTTTTGGATTGCACCACGTATTAACCTTACTGAGATTGCAATGCTGTTTCGCTCTCGTCCTTCCTGAACCATATGACTAACATCCTGAAGCTTACAAAACTGGAGGCCACCACAACCACACACATCTTCAGTTTCTACCNAATACCTGACGAAACATACACGTCAAACCACGCCAACGGGTTAATATAAAAAACCTGTGAGGCAAAGTACACTAGTACCACTTAATACAGGGTCCTGAAGTAATGTAATAGGAACGTTTTGTAGAATGCAAAGCATGTGCCCATGAGAGAATTTGCATTTACCTTCTAGTTTTGCACTAACAACTGGCAGCCATTTTCAGCTGCAGTCACACCTATACAACACATATTAAACAGTAACAGAGCAACTGCACAGTAATGCTAGCTGGCAGTATCTTTCCTGTCTGTTTACTGCTTAAGAAATTTACCTGTTCTTCTCTCAGTCTGGGAAGCTGAACTCAGCTCTCCCAGGACTCTGCAGAATCTGTACTCACACAGCCCTGGGGTCAACTCAACCTCTTTAACATAAATGAGTACCAGGAATTTTCCTGGGGGTAAAGGGGTGCTGGCCAGTGCTTAAGGCTGACTACTTCACCACCACCTGCATGCCAAATGTCTAGAAATATGTGGCAGCCTCGATGACTCAAAACCCTATGGGCTTCCACGGCCTGTTACATGGATAGCTTTACATTTAACTTTTACCTTTTTTACCAACTAACAACAATCTGCAACATGCCATATTTGCACAATTATAAGTTACCATCTTTTCCTCATTTTAATGCTTCTAAAATTATTGTGTGTCTTTTAAGTGGTTCTTAAGGAAAAACAATATGTTGCTAATCTATCTAGATCCAGCAGGGGTAAACAGTTCACTGTTATAACCAAGAGATGCTGCTTCTGCTTCAATTAAATGATACATCAATGCAAACTCGGCTTGAATCAGTGTCACCAACTGGAGCACCACATCTGTTCTGTGCCATTATCAGAGCCTCTCCTCAATGCCACAATTAAATGAACGCCTTATATGCAGCATATGCAACCACATTTCACAATGCTAAAACTGGCAGTTACACATACACACAAGGAACAATAACCCCAACTTTAAATGACTCAAAGTTATGTAACACTTGCTAGACCAACAAAATCATACTGCATGAAACCATGAAACAAAGGAAAAAAGATTAGTATTACCTGAAAGGTTTACTGACAGCAGACTTTTCAACCAACACTGACAAAACTGCATACACGGTGTGTCCAGGATCCGTTAGGACTCATTTTTTAACATTCTTCCCTACGATGCCATCTGTTGGTGGGTTGTGGCATTACGATTTTTGAAGTTTCAGCTGTAACTGTCTATAATTTCAAAGCACAAGCATCGCTGCATCATGTGTTCTGATCTTGAATGTAACAGTACTGTTCTGATGCTCGTTGGAAAATGGCGGTTGAACTGAGAGCCAACATCAAATTTTGTTTGAAGTTAGGCAAAACAGCCGGAGAAGCGTACAAAATGATGAAAAGTGTGGACGGTAGTAACTGTTTGAGTCGCTTGGACATTTTTCAGTGGTTTGCTGTATTTCGTGACGGCAGCGAGGACACTGAAGACACTCGACATGCATCAAAGCTGAGAACAAGTCGCACTGACGAAAATGTGAAAAATGTGACTGAAATCCTTGCATCAGACAGATGTGTTTCTGCAAGACTCATCGAAGAGCTTTTGGGAATACCAAAAAGTACTGTGCATCAAATTTTGACCGAGAATTTGGGCAAACGGAAGGTCTGTGCGTGGTTTGTACCGCACGTGCTGTCAGGCGATGAACACCATGCCAGAGTGGAACACTGCAAAGACACGTTACAGTCGGCACAAAGTGATACAAAATTTACAAAATTAATTGTTACTGGTGACGAGACATGGTGTTTTCAATACGAGCCTCTCACTAAACAGCCAAGGGCAGCGTGGTTCAGCCCAAAGAAGCCGAAACCAAAGAAAGCACGCATGCAAAAGGGTCGAGTAAAGACACTGCTAACCATTTTCTTCGATTCCAAAGGAATCATTCATAAGGAATTTCTGCCAAAAAGTCAAACATTGAATTCTGATTATTATCTCGCAGTCCTCAATCGTTTGTGGGTGAAAATTCTTCGAATTCGACCTGAATACCGAGAGGAAAGTTCCTGGTCGTTCCTCCACGACAATGCCCCACCCCATAAATAAAAGATTGTGCGCGATTTTTTGGCCAGAAAAGGGATCACAGTCCTTGATCATCCTCTGTATTCACCAGATTTCGCTCCAGCAGATTTCTGGTTGTTCCCAAGAGTTAAGTTGGCGATGAAAGGAGACCGTCATGACACCATCCAGGACATCCAAAGGGAATGTACCACAGTTTTAAATGTGATTCCACAAAAGGAGTACAGTGACTGTTTACGAAAACCTTTCAATCGATTCCAGCTATGTACTGATTCAGGAGACTATTTTGAATAAAAGGAGTGAATTTTGAAAACAATTCATGTCTTGTATTTTTAATGAACACAGTCCTAACAGAACCTGGACACACTGTGTATATCAGCAATAACAGGAGTTATATAACACTAGTGAAGGAATTGGACATATCAGCTCAGACAGGACTTCTGGATATCAACTGACAATGAGATTACCTGGTGGACAGGAGCAGCTGAAGTTGCTCACAAGGTCATGGCAGGTGGCCCCATTTTGGCATGGGTTGGGCTGGCAGTCATCCACATTCAGCTCACAGTTTTGTCCCTGGAAGCCCTTGGTGCAGTGGCAGAAATATGAGCCAATCAGGTCCTTGCACGTGGCACCATTCTGGCATGGTGCAGACTCACACTCATTGATCTCATCCTGGCAGTAGCTTCCAGTGTAGCCATCTTGACAGTGACAGCGATGGCTGTTGCCTATGTCCTCACATGTTCCATTGTTGCACAGGTCCTCCTTCGTCACACCTGTACAGAACTGAACTGTCAGTCATGTCCTTCACTGCAGAATGCAAGTGCCAATATCACTGTTCACAAGACACTGACCTTTGCGTATAGCTGCATCACTGCAGGAAACCATCTCCACATCGCACACCTTGCCTGTCCAACCAGGCCCACACACGCACATGTATGTGTTCTCTGTCTGCTTGCATGTTGCCTGGTTCATGCATGGCTCTGTGCTGCACCAATCCACATATGAGTCGCATCGCTTTCCTGTGTAGCCATATGGACAGTGGCATGTGTAGTATTTGATCTGGTCATGACATGTGGCTCCATTCAGGCATGGGTGGCTGTCACATTCATTGATGCGGTACTGACAGTTGGAGCCCGTGTACCTGCAACATGCAACATTTAGACCCAAGGCAGCAACAAGCACAATGCTGTCTAGACATGCCGAATCTAACTCACCCTGGCTGACAGATGCAGGTGTAATTGTTGATGCCATCAACACACTTCCCCCCATTCATACAGCTGCTGTCTGTACAGTCCTCATCATTAGTCTGACAGTTGATGCCTGAGAAACCCAATGGGCACGTGCAAGTATAAGAGTTGACATATTGGTTGCAGGTGGCACCATTGTGACATGGAGCCGAAATACATTCATCCACGTCTATCTCACAATGCTTGCCACCAAAGCCATCCACACAAAGGCATGTGTAATCACCAATCCCATCCAGGCATGTTCCACCATTCTGACACGGAACTGGAACAAAATGTCATTACTGTTTATGTGATGTGATGATAATGCTCAATCCAGTATATAAAAAAGGATTCGTCCTCCTGCAATACTGTCCCTTGAAGCTTATAACGTTAACTGTCCATGCACACAGCCCAGTACTCACAAGAAGCACAGTCGTCAGTGTTGATGACACAGTCCCGACCCTCATAGCCCTTTGCGCACACACAGTGGTAAGAGCCATTTGTGTTGCGACATGTGGCACCATTACGACATGGCGAGGACACGACACACTCATCCACGTCCTCGTCACAAAGGCGACCTGTGTAGCCCAGACCACAGGTGCAGGCGAAGTCAAGAAAGTTGCTGGATGGAGAACAGCGGGCTCCATGGTGACACCTGTCACAAGGGAGAAGCATGTTACAACACCTGTTTCCTCTTCATATACAAGCAATGTTTACTTCTAATTCAATATCAGCTCTTAGATGTCCTTTGACATGCAGCTTTACATTTTTAACTGAGGCAAAAATTAAATTATAAAGCAGTTGCTCACCTATTCGGAGAGCATGGATCCAATTTGTCTCGACAGTCTCGCCCGGTATGGGGCAACTCACACACGCACTTGTACGCGTTAACAAGATCAATGCAGGATCCCCCATTTTTACAAGGATTTATGGCACAGTCATCCACATTGGTCTCACAGTTTGCACCCATGTAGCCAGGAAGACACTCACAAGAATAGGCATTCAGGTGGTCGTTGCACATGCCGCCATGCTGGCAGGGGTTAGAGCCACACTCATCGATGTCCTGTTCACACTGCTTACCTACAAAGAACACAAAGTGTGATGACATGTCACACACAGGCAGCAGAGCTGCCGTTAAACAGCTCTCTGCATACTGAACTCACCGCCATAGCCAGGGAGACAACGGCAGATGAACTGGTTCACACCATCCTCACATGTTCCTCCATTCTTGCAGGGATTACTAGCACATTCGTCCACATCACTGAGGCAGCGAGCATCGTAGTATCCACGTGGACACTCACACTTGAAGCCATCCACAAGATCCATACAAACTCCACCATTTGCACATGGATTGCTGGCACATTCATTGATGTTGGTTTCACAGTGTTGGCCGGTGAACCCAGGGATACAATCGCATGAATACCTGTGCAGCACATACACAAACAGATCATGGAAACTCAGCATTTTGAAGTATGGTCTATCTACAGAAACACATAGTGAGACAAACCTCTGTTTGACAGCAATTCAGTATATATAATACGCACACACAACTGCCTCATATAAGAAAGTTCAGGCCTCATGCAATTTTGAAGTTTAGCATACTTACTGTATTTCTACTAAAAATTACAATTTTTTGGAACATATGACAGAAGACACTATCACAGTTTACCAGAATTTTATGAATTGCCACCAAAGTGACTACCAGCATATTGTCACGTAATAGAGTGGATACACACAGGGTTTTGATTGCTAACTGGATTTATTGGAAACAGATCATAACTACAAGTAACTACAAGGCTATTAATAATTCACACTCTCTCTCTGCACCTCACTAAAGCGTGCACTAAGTGTTCTAAGTCTGCTGTGTCTTTGATATCAGTTGCCTGGTAGCAGCTTCCAACAGCAGACATTCCCCTTCCTTCCCAAACTACCTATCCCTGGCCTCAGCTAGCAGCTTCTCACAGCAACAGCTCATAAGGACTTAACCATTGCAGCCCTCTCCATCTCACTCACTCACTCACTCACCAACCAACTTACTCCACTGCACTGAACTTGGTCGGTCGAGTGATACAGCCTCAGAGCGGACCACACAGAAAACAGTGCTTCCAACAGTACTTGCCACTGTCTCGTCTGTTTTACGATCATTGCCTAGCAACAGGTCTGTATGCCACAATATTAACTATTCTAGCAGGGCTGATCTAGCCATTTCCTTCTTCATATATGAACCAATGACAAATTCCAAATGCTGCAATGCACATTTGAAATGGAAAAAATGAAAGCGTTCTGAAACATGGAAGATCAGTAGTATACAGCTTGTGATTTGAACATTCATGACTCTGATGACACCGTCAAGACACACTCCTTCTGCCCCATGCTGTCATCATACAGTTTCATGTACAGCCAAACCCATCCATCATACTTTCTGGTAACTATAGGAACCTAGATGACATGTCATTTTATTTTGGGAATCCAGACTCTAGGGCCCATGTTGCAGCCAATGGGAAGTATATCTTGTGCAGTGAGAAAGCAGGATCATCAGCAAGGGTCTATGATGCTGCAGCATTGCTGGATCCCCTATGCGCTCAGTACCAGACCAATGCTCGCTCGCTCGATCACTCACCTGTTGATGCCATCGACACATTTAGCACCATTGCGACACGGATTGCTGTAGCACTCATTGATGTTGATCTCACAGTTAGGCCCTGTGGTGCCCGACTTGCAACGGCACTGGTAGCCATTAATGAGGTCCTCACAATGTCCACCAAACTGGCAGGGATCACTCTCACATTCATTGACCTGTGTCTGGCACAGGTAGCCAGTAAAACCCGGGTGACAGTTGCAAGTGAACGAGTTCTCTCCATCGATACACTCCCCCCGATGACACGGGGAGCTCTGGCAGTCATTTATGTTTGTTTCACAGTTGGTACCTGAACACATGCAACAATATATATATAAGCACAACTACAATGACAAGTACAAGTTCTATGTTCTGGGATAGCACTGTGCACTCCAGTGAAAGTGAACCTGGCTCTGCTTGCTGCCAGCTTCATGCTTGAGTTTCATTTGGCTCACTCTTGATCCCTGAAAATGATGGCAATTATTTTTCTCCAAAATGCTCTTCACTTTCACCTGACTACCAGAAAACAGAACTCTTCATAGACACTGCTGCAAGACCATCAGACCCAGCACTTCAAACTGTGTTTACAATGAAACATTACTGAGGCCACGCAGTCTAGCCCACTTTCTAGAATTAGCATGCCCATACCCATCCAGTTCAAATGTGGAACTCAGATACACTCAGTACCAGATGTCACACACAACCTCATTCTTTTTTCCAGTAAAGAAAAGGCATTTGTGAATACTGTCTGCAAGTCAAATGTCTAGAAAATGTGGGAACCTCAAAGTCTCACAACCCTATGGGTCTCCAAGGCCTGTTACAGGGATAGTTTTACCCTTATCTAGAAATAAGCAAAAATGTGGTAATTTTATCAGTTTATACTAGTCTGAAGAAAATCAGCAAGGACCTTACAAGAGAAGCTACATACACAGTGTGTACCACTTACCTGTGAAGCCTGGTGGACACTCGCATGTGTAGACAGCAATGGAGTCATGACAGATGCCACCATTTCGACACGGGTTGCTCTCACAGTCATCGATGTTAATCTGACAGCGGTTACCAGTGAAACCAATTGCACAGGCACAGCGAAATGTGTTGATCAGATCATTGCATATACCCCCATTCAGACATGGATTCAGCTGGCACTCATCAATGTCGATCTCACACTGCGTACCCGTGAAGCCTGGAACAGATCAAGCGTCTACAGAACTTGCTAACAATGGACAGGAGCAGCTGTTATGACCAGCTCGCACTTAACCACTGCAAGTGAACACAAGGACAGCATTCATCACACATCCTTTATACATACATGCTGGTACCTGATCTGGCAGTCAAGAAATTATCTGGCTGCTATGGAAGTCAAAGGTTCATTACTCAATTTGTAACAGCATGCCACCAGATAGTAACTTGAGCCAGCTGAACCCAACCCACACCTCTACATCTCCTTTCCTTAGAATTCATCTCAATGACAATCCTCCCCTCTGTGCCCAGGTCCCCCATGTGATCTTTCTCTTCAGGTTTTCTGGCATAAATTTTTTAAGCATCTTCCATCTCTCAAATTCAAGTTATTTAACTACATGTTTACTTTACACATACTGTGAAATGTAGTACAATGAACCCCTGGAACTAACATTCTGGGCTCCTGTCACCTCAGAATATCACTGACTTTGGTATAGATGGTAACCACTTCTTTCAAAGATGGTTAAAGACCAGTGGCAATCTCCTGTCAACACTGAAATGAACCTTTGGGTTCCAGTTGTGGTAATTTCTAGAGTAGTTCAAGTGATTATTAACTTCTCATGAGGGCCACTGACTGAACGCGTCGGTGTAGCAGTAACGCTCTTGTTCGAATCTCGGGCGAAACACCGAACTAACTGTAGTGAATGGGGGGTGGGGGTACATCGTGGGTTTCCTCAGTCCTCCGGGAAAATACAGAAATAATACCTTGATCAGACCACGGCCGTTCCTTTTCAAATACTTCCAAATTCATCAATTACTCTCATTCGACGCTACATGGCCTCGCTACTGCCAGCGTCGCTAAATAAACAACATGGAGATGTTGGACGAGCCATTTCAAAACGCTCTATTTATTCCAATTGAAAAATGTCAACGTCTTTTTCCGAACATTTCGAAAATCTCCTAAGTCACGATCTACTGATTTTGTCACGTATTTTTTTTTGCGTTCCTTTCTTTTTAAGCTCGCAGAGAATGCCTGTCTAGTTTTTCAGAACGCTGAGCCCCTCAGACGTCAAGATGGCTCCAATCTCGAGCGGGCCGCATTCCTGCCGCGTGGCCTTGCCAGCCTACACCGGCCAGAGTTGCCACATCGTCCATGTGGCAGACTGAATATCATCATCCGAGAACTTTAAACATTATTGGCCGGCACAAAGGGTAAATGCCGTTGCAACGGCCATCTCGAGAGGTCGGGAAATGCCCGGGATTCCCGAACCACTGGGCGAATTATAATAGTCTTCATGAAGCCGCGACAGGAACAATGAGTGCGGCAAACACAAACTTCCGGAGACCTGAAAGTTTCCATATCCGAGCAAGTACTAACTCATCTCGGGGCGTCAACTTGCGAAGTAGTCACTCTGCTCCAGCGTTGAAATCCCTGCGGCATGAGCGCGTCCGGCTGACGTCATGCTAGGGTCAGGGGTCCTCGTGAGGAGCAGGAATGCATCAGTCCGCCCAGACACAGGTTACACGAGGCGCACATTCGCTCGTCACCGTTCGTCCTTACAATCCATGTCCCTAACAGGCCTCATTCCTGCGTTCCAAAAAAGAAGCTGCGAAAATATGGCACTTGGTGCAGTCACATTTCTGTCCGGCGTGAAACAATTCGAGCACCACCGAAAAAAAAAATTGTATGGAAATATAATACTGAAACACATTCCAAGCGCAGTTAAAACTGGTCTACGATAACGGACACTACATCAAGGTTTACATGTACTTCTGCGGGCATCTAAATATTCATCGCCGCGAAAAATGTTTCCAGCAGAATTTCGGGCGTTTCTCTAGGCCCTGAGGTTTTCGAAACATTTAAACAAAACGAGGGCGAACGTGCCGAACTCGCACACTTCCCGCATTTTGCAAACTTCTGTTGTCCTCCGTTGTGGAGCCTCCGAACCGCCACGTTTGGCAAGTCTGCATAACTGGGCTACCCGTTTCATTTCTGCATGGAGGATCGCTGTCTAAATTACGAGGTGCACGACCGGGGATCGGGGTTTTGTGTGGGGTCCACACCGCTGCAAAACGGTCGGAGCGCGAAGCTGACACAAATCGGTGCGTACTGCTCTACAGTTTTGGCGTACGCGCCTGCTTGCTGTCGAGATATACATCAAGTTCGGCAAGAAACACAACTGTGTATCATTTCAAAATATGAAAAGATGGGATTAAAAATTGTTTTACGTATAGAAACAAAATTATAGCACTGAAAGCAACGCGTACAACGCACAATACCCAACGACAGCGCTACACTTCTGAACGCGCACACCTGACATTTCCACCGCAGAGGTGCGAGGTTAAATAAAACACAATTTAATCACATTTGATACCACTGTTTTCAAAATGCGCCATGGCCGGCACCCGGTACAGTACCGGAGAGCAGCCGCCCTGGCTCCACTGCAGCCCTAGTTACAATCATCCATCGCTTCAGCAGTGGAAGCTGCGTCAATGAAGCACAGCAGGGTGAGGAATGAAGAACCCGTGGAGCTTCATCTCCATCGCCCCCCCCCCAACGGGGTCAAAGAGAACGGCACGGAGCATTGTTTCCCAACATCGTGTAGCAGTGCCTCGCAGCGTGTGTCGCACGAAACACACTCCACCCTAGCATGGGGCTTGAACCCACGACCTCCTTTGTTTCAGCAGTCTGTACACCTGACTGCAGATACTCAGCCTGCTGTTGTGTCGGCGTGTTCACCACACTAATGAGACACGATGGACAACAGCGAATAGGGAGAGAAGTGGGTCTGTATTACGAGACGGCCAACCTGTTAAGTTGGCAGCATTTCTGCACAGCCGTATAAAGTTCTATTACTTGACACATGACCGACCGTCTGTACCTTGCCCACACGTCTATCTGTATTTTATCCACCTTCCTGCACTTCACCCTATGAGTGTAACCTCTCAATGTTGGCTGCGCAGAGAAATTACCATACTTTTGATAATCTACAAATGAAAACCTCTGCATCATTCACCCCTTGCACACTGGCCCCTGAAGTACCAAGGCACGAAGGTCCCCCCCCCCACTACTCCTGAGGCAGTAGGAAACCTCCCCCCACTATCCTACACATAAGCGCCATGGCAATGCCTGAGGACAATATATGCTGATGTCCTTTCCTTCTGAGCCGTGGCGAAGTAAATGCTAGGCCCAGGTGCAGCCTACAGGTTTCTTAATGATTTGGTAGCACACTTGCAAATTTCCTTTCGATCTTTGGCAACTCCTCCCAATTTCTGGCCAATGGTTCTTACAGCTGTCTCTGTAAGGAGCAGGGTCTTTTAATTTTTCAAACGATGTGCTACCTGTGATTATGTCACGACAGTCCCTCTAGAAACATGCGCACACACTGCAATATGGTGGAAAAATTCACAGTAGTTAATAAGCTCATGCAGAGCTCAAAAGGAAAGAAATTAAACATGTTAAAACTTCAAAAACGTTTTTTTGCTTGAGAAATAAAGGTGTTGATGAATGAATGTATAAGGGGTGGGCCTTCTTGGCCCTTGCACCGCAACCACAGTGCTCTATAGTGCCTTAAGGTGTTAGTGAACATTCGCTCAACAGTTTAGCATGTGCAAATTCAATGGTAGGGAAAAGCAATAGGCACAGGATTGTGGGGGGCGGGGCCTCCAGTGAAGAAAGCAAACAAGGTTCATGCAAAATAGACAACAAGTCTCAATATCCTTGTTCTGAAACGTTTCAAGAAATATCTCGCAATGATGGACATGGCTGGTTAGCAGGCCAACAACTAAGTATATAATAGCTGTATACTAATACATAAACTGGGAAATTTTAACATTGTTTTCTGTATGTCGGCCGCCATAGTTATGTTCATTCCTGAGAGCAACTTATGTGGCCAACATATATTTCTACATTAACACTGGTGCCTGACAAACTTAAAGCATAGCTAAAATTCAAACCATGTTGGCTAACTTCTGTTATCTCAAAACCTTAACACTTACGGAAAAAGTGCATCATCACACATAACATTAGTTTCATTTTGATATATAACTTTGTTCAAAATATTTGTCTCTGATAAATAATTGGTGAATTATGCTTGAAATTTGTGCAAATACATGCAGATCTTCATGCAAAGTATGCATTATCGTGGTCCAATTTTAACCAAAATCAGAATGTGTTGAACAAGTTTCAGTAAACTCTCCAATGCCAAATTTAATGCAAACTGTTCAGCAGTTCTCGAACTCTTACATGGTGAAGCTATTAAATATGAAGTGAGAAGCAAACTCACCGGGCATGCAGACGCAGCGGAAGGTGCCTGGGTCGTCGAGACAGGAGCCATCATTTTGGCATGGGTGTGACTCGCACTCATTCACGTTGGTCTCACAGCGTGGCCCTGTGAAGCCCTGCGTGCAGTTGCACGCAAAAGAGCCTGGTGTGTTCACACAGTCCCCATCATGCTCACATGGGGACCCCTGTTCACACTCATTGATGTCCTCACTGCAGTCCACTCCCTTGTAGCCACTGGCACATGAGCATGTGTAGGAGCCATTGATGGGGCTCGTGTCACAGATTGCATCAGCATGGCAGGGGTTTGATGTGCAGGCATCATCCAAATGGCACAGCAGCCCTGTAGCACATAGAGGATAACATAGAAACAGGCTGTGGTCAGCAGCCCCATGTAGTTTAATGCGAGGTGGTATCGGAAAGTTCCTATACTTTTATTGTTGTTAACTGCCTCCATGAATGAATATATGAGGGGAGAACAAGGTCACACTTCCGCAAGCCTACTGCATCAGTCTGCCACGTAACATCTTGCTCTTAACATGAACTGTTTTACACAAGTGCTTTTGACTTCATGTTTTGTTTTGTCTGCGATGGATGGCAAAACCGAGCAACGTGTCTGCATCAAGTTTTGCGTGAAGCTCAGTAAATCCACTACCGATACCCCTGAAATGCTTCGTGGGCCTTTCAAAGAATATTCTTTAAGCCGGAGAGCGGATTTTCAATGGTATTCACGTTTCAAAGCTGGTCGAGTGTCAACTAAAGGGGATGAACGTTCAGGGCGACCAAGCACCAGCAAAATGACAGAAAACGTTGAAAAATTTCGAGAACTCATCCACACAGACCGTCGCCAAACGATGGATAAACTCACAGACACCACTGCAATCAGTTATGGAGCTTGCCAGGAGATCTTAACTGAAAATTTGAACATGCAATGCAGTGTTCCTTCATCACAACTCGTGCGCCCACACATTCCTGATTATCACAGAATTTGTGACTAACAACAACATGGTTATCGTTCCCCATCCTCCTTACTCACCACACTTAGCTTGTGACTTCACTTTGTTTCCCAAATTGAAAATGAAACTGGAGGAACTGCATTATGAAACAGAGTTACTTCCAAAGGGAGTCACAAGCAGTACTCAACAGCATTAAGGAACAAGACTTCCCCAGTGCTTTCGAAAATTGGGGGGGGGGGGG